TTGCATCACCGTTACGTTACCGTGCGGAGGAGGGGGAGGGGAGCGCTGACTCACCCGCCGCGTCACTGCTGGTGGGGGGGGGTTCTCCTTTGCGCAACATGTCACAATATCCCTGTAACAGGCCATGGAGGCCCATGGGATTGTGAGATGTTGAGGCTCCCACATCTTCTAGACAATCGGTTCATAGATGGTGGTAAGGTTGTCAGCCTTATGCACAGGCCGCCCTTTACCCTCAAGAACATTCCAAGAATATTCCTGGTACTCATTTCTTTTAGAGGCTGAGTCAACCCCAGGGCCATAGTGCGGTTGGAAGGATTAGGTAAATTGAAAAAAATCCAGTGACCTCATTTGGATTTGATCCTGCAACCTTACGGCTTGTAGCATAGTGCCTCAACCAACTGAGCTTAGATAATAAATTAAATTAAATTAAGTTCTTATGTAACGCAGATATTTGAAGGAATAATTTTTCTTAGTCTTTCAATTGTAAAGTTTATTTGTAATGTATGGAAAGTTATGATTAATGTGAAGCACTTTGTTGATTTCTTGTTGACAAGTCTTTTCCTTGAACAGGTCATAGTTTGACCTTGAGGTAGAGCTATGTTTACAATGGTCCTTTAGGAAAGAAAACAGTAGTGGTTGAAGCTTTTATGAACCAGTCTTATGACAGGGGAGGGTCATGATCTACAGGCAAGGATTGAAATAAGAATAAACAGGGCTGTGTCTTAAGTATCACAGGAGTCATGGAAGACCTGAGGTCCATGTGTTTTTTTTTTTTCAGAGTACATCCTTGGCAGGGGCAGGAGTTTGCCATTTTCTTTCAAGTGGTTGTGTTCTGAAATTACAGCCACTTAGGAAACGTCATGACGTCATAAATACAATTTTAATATTGTGCAAGTTTGCAGTGTGTTCATTATAGGAGATCAGCTGTCATGATTCATGCCCACGTAAACCATGAGAAATGGACCCTCAGTTCTTGTCTGCTCAAATGTTGTTCATTACATTTAGTGGGCAGTTGTGTTTCATCCAGACATGACTGGTCTTTACATCTGGTAGGCATGCTAGTTCCCCCTGCATGCCCCCTCCCCCAGAATTACATATAAGTATTTTGCACAAGAAGATTTTATTAAATTGACTTACAGGTCCAGAGATGTGTCAGATGTCGGTTGTGAACTGGGAGATGAAGTCTAGATGGTTGAACTGTCTGGATGAGCATTTATCCCGCTTCTGCTGAAAGGCGTAGGTGATTGGCTTGTGGTCGGTGAAGATGGTGAGGTGACACGCTTCCAGCATATGGCAGAAATGCTTTACTGCCTCCTAGATAGCCAGTAGCTCACAGTCATAGGTGCTGTACTTCTGTTGGGCAGGGTTAAGTTTCTTTGAGAAGAGGGGGAGGGGCTGCCAGGTGTCCCTTATGCATTGTTGTAGCTTGGCACCCATGGCAGATGTGGAGGCATTTGTGACGAGTGCAAGTGGTGCAGATGGATCCGAGTGGGCCAGTAGAGTGGCGCATGACAAACTCGCCTTGCACTCTCGAATGCCTTGTGGGGATCCGGTGTCCAAGTGATGGGGTGGGAGCCCTTGACTTTGGGTCCGGAGAGGACGTCGTGCAGTGGTGCCTGTGTGGGGCAGAAATCTGCATGTTGCGGGGTAGCCGGCTGGTCCAGATGCTTCGGATGATGTTATCAGACACGTCTGGTGCGAGACTCCTGAGGTATCACAGGAACTGGGATGGCTTACGGTCGCCAATTTCCTTGACCATGAGGAGCTGCCGGATGTGCTGCTCCGTCGATGGGGATAGCTGCCTCACAAGATTGGCCCTCAGTAGGCTGTAGGGATCTCGTTCGGGTGGAGAGGTGATGATATCCTCCACCTCTGTGGCGTACCGATGGTCCAGCTTTGAGATCACATGGCAGAACTTGATGTGCTCACTGCTCATGTCAGCCAAGGTGAATTGCGCCTCGGCCTGGGCGAACCACACAGCTGGTCTGTCTGGCCGGTGATGTGGTGCTGTGTGCACTGGTAGGCACAGTTGCCTACGGCACGTTTGCTGGAGAGTTGCAGCAGCTACGTTAGCTGCCTGGTCACAGAGCAAGGTTGCTGGAGAATTGCGGCAACTACGTTAGCTGCCTGGTTGCAGAGTGATGTTGCTGGAGGGTTGCGGCAATTACATTAGCTGCCTGGTAGCAGAGCGTGGTTGCTGGAGAGTTGTGGCAGCTGTTTTTGGCGCAGAAACAGCTGATGACTGTAATGACTGATCGCTCTGAACTGAATGTGATCACTGATGATTGTGAGCTTTGGGCTCCGCTTTTATACCATGCTTGCTGACCGGAGCTTAAACTTGCAGTTGTGATTGTGAGCGCTGATTGGCTAGCGCACTTGATGAGCTACAGGTGGGCTGGACATCGAGTGCTATATAAATACGAGTGGTGGCAGCAATGTGCAGCAATGTGATACTGACTAGGAGTGAGTGCTGTCTGTTAGACTGGCAAAACCGCGTATTAGTATGTGGGATGTTCCCACAGAGGATTAGTTTGAGAATTTTCATATTTGTTTTCTGGGGTAAGAAACACGTGAGGTTCAAGCAGTAAGAGTGCATAAGTTATTCAAGAGTGAGTAATGAATATTACACATTTTGTTGCTGTAATGTCAATTGTTAATTGTTTACAGAAATTGAATAGTGTGAATGAGAGTGGGTTAAGCCCACTCATGTTGGCCGTCCTGTTACATGATGAGGCGTTGGTTTGCTGTCTGCTGGATGCAGGAGCAGACCCTGACGTTGAAACACCTCCATATGGCACATTAGGTTACCCTGGTGTACATGCAGAGACCCAGCATTGGACAGCTCTAACATATGCAGCTCTACAAGGAACATGCAGTGTTGCACGTCTTCTTTTGGAAAGGGGAGCCCATGTGGAAGGAGGGACTAGACTGAGTGAGGACAAATGCACACAGACACCACTTCAGGTCTGTTTTCATTTAAATATATTTTGGAAGTTGAATATCTGGAAACAGCAGTAACAACTAGAAATAAGGTTCAAGATGACATCAGGAGAAGAATAATTCAGGAAGTGCTGTTGTTATTTCTTTCAGAAACGTTAAATCATCCCATCTCCTTTTCAGAACACCATAAATTTCAAGAAATGGAACACTAATTTTGCCATTTGGATTTTATAGGTATGAAACAAAGTGCTAAGGGAAATGTGTAGCTGTAAGGAAGATGGTTGAAGGATATTACATAATGAGAACTTTTGTGATTCATATCATAGTGTTAGGTTGTTGAAATTAAGGAAACTGCAAAAGGGTGAGCATGTAATTAAGATGGAGAAAACAAGGAACAAATAAGAACTATGATGAATAAACCTCATGGAAAGTGGACATTTTGAGGGATGAGGAGATGGGAAGATAACATTAGGGTATAACACAGGTAAATAGGTTTTGAGATTGGAAGTGGATGTTACTGGCTTAGAATCATGACGCTCTGGTGTAGCGATGGTATTAGAGAGTTTGTTTAAAAACACATCTTCAAATTAGCGCACATATAAGGAAACTGATTTTCTTAACTTATTGTGACATGTTGACCCCTACCCCCCCCAGCTGCACGTAGCGGTAACATAGCGCTCGTGTAATAGGCAAGTAATCACACCGCATCCTGGTAGCTATGCAACGCGCAACGCGCGGTGACGTCACGAGCGGAGCCGAAGTGAGCCGAGCGGAGCCGACGATAGCCGAGCCCCCGCAACCTGGTAACTATGCAATGCGAGTCAACAGCGGTGACGTAACAGGATGACGTGGCACTCATTACGCAACAAGCAAGCACTGCAGCTATATAAGTGAGCTGCACAGCGGCTGCGAGTCAGTTATAAAGTAACAGTCGCCGAGTCGAGTCATCAGTCAGCCATTCAGTGCGTTACCAACGAGTCTATACAAGTCTCCCTGAATTACACACTCCAGATATAACTGGGTATCACTGGTTATCGCACACGCGTCTGTAGCTCGTAACTTGCGAACTGAGAACTCGTTGGTAACGCACTGAATGGCTGACTGACGACTCGACTCGGCAACTGTTACTTTATAACTGACCCGCAGCCGCTGTGCAGCTCACTTATATAGCTGCAGTGCTTGCTTGTTGCGTAATGAGTGCCACGTCATCCTGTTACGTCACCGCTGTTGACTCGCATTGCATAGTTACCAGGTTGCGGGGGCTCGGCTATCTTGGGCTCCGCTCGGCTCACTTCGGCTCCGCTCGTGACGTCATTGCGCGTTGCATAGCTACCAGGATGCGGGGTGATTACTTGCCTATTACGCAAGCGCTATGTTACCGCTACGTGCAGCTGGGGGGGGTAGGGGTCAACATGTCACATTATTATGTAGGATTCATACGTGACTATCAGAAATTACAGAAGTCCTGTGTTTGTGAATGCAAACATACTCAGATTTGGTAACTCTCTCCTGATATGTAAGATGGTTTCTTTGCAGTGGTATAATTGTTTTAACTTTAATCAGTCTGTGGCATGAGGAACACAAAGCCTGAATAGCATGACAGTGTGGAAGTGTATCAGTGCATAATTTTATATATAGTTCACTCCCTGTGACAGGTGGCAGCAGCATGCAATCAGATGGAGATGGTATCTCTGCTCTTATCACATGGAGCTCATCCTTTTCTCTCAACACTGCTCAAAGACTCACTGTGCTATTCTGGTGCTGCTCAGCGTGGCTCTTACAGGTGAGGGAGCAGAAGGTTTGTGAGGTGCTCATGCAAAGAGACATTTGGGTTTTCAGAGAGCTCTAATTTAAGTTTAAAGTTTATTGAAAAGTACTCGGAATTTTTACAGATATCTTTACACGTGAAAGACGCCACTAAATATAATTTAATGACATTTTTATTGGCTGAATTTCGGTCATGAAATTTAATTTTGGTCTGCATTTAAAATTATTATAACTTTTTATGAGCTCTCGAATTTTGACTACAAGAATTTCATGTTGTATATAGATAGTTTGATAAAATATGATTTTAGAAATTAACAATAAAATCCAAACACAAAAACATACAATAAATTGTATAATTGTTAATTTATAGTTTTTGATAGTCTCACTATGTGGATTGAATATTTTAAAGGAATTTCTTCTTTAGTGTAAGTCCTGTTAAAATCTATTTCAACAAGTAAATTCTATGCTTGCAGTGCCATTGCAGTGGCTGCTGCCCATGGACAGAGGGCAACACTGCACAAACTATTGGCTCATCCTCACAACACTAATAATAAGGAGGTGTTGTCACTGGAGGAGATCTTGGCAGAGGGTGCCAACAATCAGCTCACCACTGACTGCAGGAGCAGTAGACTCCAGGTGAGATGCATCATTTTCTGTGTCATGAAGTGAGCAGCAGCTTATATCCTGTTAGCTAGTATATAAATTAAGGAATAATGAAAAAATTACAATCCTCTCCAGTAAGAGACCTATTAGTACATTTTGAGAGAATGAGCTTTCATAAAAGCTGAACAAAGAATATAAGATTTCCTCAAAAAGTAAGGAAATGGTTTAGAGGACCTTAGGAAAGTGATAGAATGGTCCTATTTTGTACTATGACAGGCCAACTATATCTAAAATAGAAAGACTGGAAGTACACAATTTTTTGACACAAATATTACACAAGAACTGGAACACTTGGTTGTTGGACGTCAGGAGTTACTAGCTCCACACTCAGCCCTTAAGTTAAAGAACCATGCCATGTTGACTGTCCCATAAACTGGTCCCATATCGAGGAACCTGTTTTTGATGGAAAATGGGTTTCAAATGTGACCTGGATTGAAGGGGTTCATGTAAGGGTATGACTGAAATAGTAATGAACTTTCAAGTTCCATGAGAGAAATGAATGATTTGAGCAGTAGATCATCAGCTCTTTCATGGGTAGTCAGTTGGTTAATGTATTAGTTTACTGGTTTAATTTTGATTAGTCAGCTTGTAAGTTGGTTAATCTGTTGATAAATTTGTTACTTTAATTTAAGTGGAGATATTTTAATTGATAATTATGATTTATTTTTGAGAGATTGAGGTAGAGTGAAAATTATCAGGTTAATTTTGAGTAAAAATTTTCTGTCAGATGATTTGAACCAATATGAGATCTAACACTTATTTGATATTTTTTTTTAAGGTAACATGTCCTTCCAGCTCAGACTCTAGCACATGCTTGATGAATCATGCTGGCAGTGATAACCTGCAGCTGCTGAAACTCAGCAAAGCACAGATCAAGTCACTTCAGGAGGCCATGTATCACAGCACTGAGAACAACCACCTGGGTAAGCTTTCTCTTATGATGATGCATCATGTGGCATGGATGAGTTGTTGCCATAGTAGCCATGTTTGTAGCCTGCAGTCTGCATTCACTTGGTTCTTTGTTTGAATCTTGCCTTGACTATTAGTGCTTTGTGTTATCTTCACTACTGAGCATTCATCCTATCTCTGTCCAAACTATGAGTATTCTAGGTGGGCCCATTTTGCCATTCACGTCAAAGCCGTGTCAGGAATTTGTCAGAGTTGTGATAACCCTGTTTACTGGGACCAAAGCCAACGGGAAGTAAGGGATGATATTTTTTTTTTTTGTGCAAACAGAAGTAACTTCTTTATAATTAATAATGGTTCAGTTAGATTTGCATGCAGTAGCATAGTTGGTTGAGGCACTATGCTACAAGCTGGAAGTTTGCGGGATCGAATCCTGATGAGGTCATTGGATTATTTTTTAATTTACCTAATCCTTCCAGCTGCACTATGACCCTGAGGTCGAATCAGCCTCTGACAGAAATGAGTACCAGGAATATTCTTGGAATGTTTTGGGGGTTAAAGGGCGACCAGCACGTAAGGCTGACAATCTTACCACCATCTATGAGCCAATTGTATAGAAAATGTGGGAACCTCAATATCTCACAGCCCTGTGGGCTTCCATGGCCTGTTACAGGGATACCTTTACTTTTACTTTTTTTTACTTTTCAGTTAGATTTGCAATGATATATGAGCCATTCCGTAGCCAGAGCTGTCGGTGACTGTTGAGCAATTATAGATTATTTAGAGTGTAATTGCATTTATCAGTAACATTTCTTGGGTGCATGTGAAAAGGGGGAAATGTGAGTAATTAATTGGAGGCATTGTCCTCAATGGAATTAATACTAACGTTGTGACAGCTGTCTTTTCCATGCAGTGACTTACAGTAGCCATGAAAACCTGGATTACAAAGGGTAACAAATCTGAAAGCTGAAGAGTGCTGTCATCTGAGATGTGATGCTATGTGATCTGGTAAAAGTTTGCCAACATTTTGGAGGAATATAATGGCCAGATGTAATATTTCTTTCTTGATAGTGACAATCATATGTTTGTTCACAAACATCCCAGAAGTCTGAAACAGCAAGCATTGATTTGTAAGACAGCAGAAAGACATTTGTTACCTAAAGAAGGGATATGCTGAATTTAACTATCTGTATAAGTTCAAGTTCTATACAACTCTTTTAAAACTTGAATTTTTTTCCACTTGAAATCCACACCAAAATTATCCAGCATGCAACACTCTATTCCATGTGCAAGAATGTCTCTGTTTTTTCTCTGTCCAGAATCTCAAAGTCTGTTTCACTACTAGGTCTATTTTTCACTTCAAAATAGCTTCCATGTTACTATCACTACCTGTGCCCAGTTCAGATCCCAGACCATTCAATAATTATTGAACAGGCCTACAAAAAAAATATTTTTTTTTGGTGTCTAGGATTTTAGAACTAATTTTAGTTATATTTAAGGCGCTGAATCTAAATATAAAATCAGTTTTTCTCTACCAGCTCTACTTTTTTAGATCAGCGTTTTTGTAAGGTGCAGTTCTACACAAAATGTGCAGTTCTAATTGTATTTTGTGCAGTTCTAGATCTCATATGCAAGGATTTTTTCCTGTATATTTGCCCTATTGTCAGTCTGCTGTCCACTGAGTTCCCCCAAAATCCACTAGATGGCATTGTCTGTCCGGTGTGAAGTGAACTTGAACGCTTCCACTAGAGTTGAGGTTAGTTTATATGTTCTCGCCGTGCAGGGTACATCGAAGTTGGCCTCGGGTGATATTTGTTTATAAAAGTAAAAGAGTTGTTATAAATTTAACCTAAAACGTACTGTGTTGAAGATTGTTGTGTTTGTGTTCCTGAATTGAAATAAAATGAGTTCAAGAAGAAGAAGTTGTATAAATCAACCTGATGTGTTTTGTTACATATGTGGAGAATACACGTTAAAAGAAAACAGAAAAACTGTTAGTGACTTTGTAAAGAAAGCTTATTTTGTATACTTTGGTGTTAGGCTTGGTGATCAGGATAAAACCTGGGCACCGCATCAGGTCTGTAAAACTTGTACAGAACATTTACGACAGTGGACTACCGGGAAAAGAAAAAGTCTGAAATTCGGCGTACCGATGGTTTGGAGAGAACCCAAGAACCACTTCGATGACTGTTATTTCTGCCTAGTAAATATTACTGGAATCAATCGAAACAACCGTAGCAAGTGGACTTATCCTGATTTAGCCTCTGCAAGACGCCCAGTTCCTCACTCAGAGGAAGTACCGATCCCAACGTTTCACCAGCTACCAGAGCTCTGTGAGGATGAGTATTTTCCCTCTAATCACCCTTCTGATTGTAATGAAGGTGACAGTGATTATGAAGGGATGTCGTCAATCCCTCAACGTTTTAACCAGGATGAGTTAAATGACCTCATCAGAGATCTCAACCTGTCAAAAGAAGCTTCTGAATTACTGGCTTCTAGGTTGAACGACAAAAATTTACTGGAACAAGAAACCAAAATTTCCTTTTACCGCACAAGAGAAACGGATCTGCTACCCTTCTTCTCTCAAGATTACAATCTTGTATATTGTCACGAAATTAGAGGACTCTTGGAAAAAATGGCTCTTCCTGAATATTTTCCCGATGATTGGCGCCTATTTATTGACAGCTCAAAGCGAAGTTTGAAATGTGTCCTTCTACACAATGGAAACAAATATGGTTCAATACCAATTGCTCACTCCACGAAAATGAAAGAAGAATATAACACCATAGCTTTGGTCTTAGAGAAGATAAAGTATCATGAACATCAATGGGTGATTTGTGTGGACTTAAAAATGGTAAATTTTCTCCTTGGACAGCAAAGTGGTTACACCAAATATCCCTGCTTTTTGTGCCTCTGGGATAGCAGAGACAAAACACACCACTGGGTTAGAAAAGAATGGCCCAAGAGAGAAAACATGTACGTTGGGGAGAAGAATATCATTAACGATCCCTTAGTTAGACGAGAGAAAATCATCTTTCCTCCACTGCATATCAAGTTGGGCCTTATGAAGCAGTTTGTAAAGGCCCTTGATAAGAACGGATCATGCTTTGCATATATAGAAATGAAAATGCCTCAGTTGAGTACGGAAAAAATTGAAGCAGGAATATTTGACGGCCCACAAATAAGACAACTCATTAAGGATCCTGCCTTCGCAAATTCGATGAACGAGGCTGAGCGAAAAGCCTGGACTTCATTTGTTGCAGTTGTCGAAAATTTTCTGGGCAAACACAAAGCTGAAAACTATGTTGAACTGGTAAACGAGATGCTTAACAGTTTCAAATCCCTTGGCTGTAACATGAGCATTAAGGTGCACTATTTACACAGTCACTTAGATAGTTTTCCTGAAAATTTAGGAGACACCAGTGAGGAACAAGGTGAAAGATTTCACCAGGATATTAAAACTATGGAGGACCGCTACCAAGGAAGATGGGATACACACATGATGGCAGATTACTGCTGGAGTTTAAAAAGGGACTGTTCTAAAATACATTCAAGAAAGTCACGAAAAAGAAGCTTCCGTAGTGTTCCGTGACTATAGTTGGTTTGACTGTTATATATAGTCGATGATTTTTTCCTCTATCTTTGTATTTAATATAATAAAATAAAAATATAATTATAATATAGTAATAAAAATTCCATGTTGAGTTTTTTTATTTGATCCACTGATTTAACTTAAAATAGTGTAACGTATATTTCACCAAAATGTTATATCTTAAAAATTTGAGCTCCTAGGCAAAAACTAATGCCATATTTGAATTCAGGGCATCAAATTCATATGAAATCAGCTCCAAATACCCCGGCACCAAAACAGCTGTTGGCCTATGATTATAATCATAGAAAAATTCATTGGTAGTCAGGTGTGTTTTGGTTTTCGTTCCATACTATGCTATAGCCCACTAATTCACGATCTATCCATAATGAACACTGCCAGCAAAGTGAAGAATATAACAGCTGTTTGCTCTAATGTCTTATTGTATTTTGATTTGTGGTTTATTGTTGAGCATGTGCTCAACATGTACAGCTAAGAAATGCAAAGTTTCCCTACTTCATTCTTCCACTGAAGCAGATTCTGACACACTGTACATTAACTAAACAGGCGGGAGAGATAGTAGCAAATATGGATACTAGAAGAGCCAAAAGCAGTGTCTGTACTTTTTTCATAGTAAACAGCAGTGATTTTTGTGTCTTTTGAATGAAGAGATGTCATATGATAGACACAGGCACTTGGGACCAGAGCATACGTATATCATATGATGGTTGCAAGACTCATAGTGTTAAGAGCATGAAGTTTCTGTATGAACATACCTGATGGTCAGTCTTCTTTCCCCTTTTCACTATAACATTTTCAAAATTAATGTCGATGAATGAATGTGAGCTGGATCTTGCTGGCTCAGGGTTATGTCTCTTACTAAGGTTTTGCTGATGCAAAGATAAACGTGTATGTTCCATAACATCAGATGGATTTAAAGACTTTAAGCATGGGCTAAATGTTTCTTTACTAGATCATCCATTCTATACATTGTATGAGTTCCTCTTAGAGGGACAGTAGTAAGCACAGCAAAACCCCTATTTAGCAATGGAAGTAGAAAACAAATGGTTAGTTGCAGTATCTTAAGGTGTTTGGTGATTGACATGGTCATATGTAGGACTCTTGATTTATTGTAATACTCTTAAAATTCTCTTGATGAACTCATAAGGTTGGCTTGCATTTTGATTTACATAGTGTACCTAATTTGATTATTTATCTGGTTTGATAGTGTGTGTGATGTTTTCATTATAGGTTAACCATGTAAAGCGTGATTGTATATTGTTGACAAATTCTATTCCTTTAGGCATTTGGGCAAAAGGATTTCAAGAATGATGTATTTAATGATGTGACTTGTTTGAGTGTTACTGTTGTAGCAATTATGAATGCCAAATAAAAATGAAATGAAATGAAATAAAGTTGTTAATTGTGCAAGGTTGTTATTCATGACAGTCATAATAGAATGACTAGAGAATGCATATGTAACTACTAGCAGCTGTTTGTAATGTATCTGCAGATATCACATTGGACCTTCGTAACCTCGGAATACCATGGACACTTCACTGTTGGATGCACACCTTGGCTACTGCACATGAACAACAACTTGAGAATATAATTGACCAGTTACTGCAGGATTTCCTGCAGGTGTGGCCAGATGACTACTCAACACAGTTTGTTGATGAATGCCTGCCCCTGCTGTTTAACATCTTTAGATTCAGTAAGGTACTGTGTGAGTCATATTAAGGGTGGAATCTCTTAAAAATGTGTAATCCAAAACTTTTATTCTTTGTAGCCATGGATTCTTAACTTAATTTGTGATTTGACTGTTCACATAATAGTCTTATAGTGATAAAATTAAGAAAGTTCAGTCGGGTGGGGTTTGTAGGATGCATAATGGCAAGTGAAATGCACATGGCATTTTGGGTAAACAAATACATGGAAAGAGACCGTTTGAGAGATCAGAGCATTGGAGGAGAAAAGCGTTGATAAGGACCTGGGATAACATATTTTGAATGAGAAGGAGTGAACTGGACTGAACTGCTCATTTATGGGTTCTGTGAATATGGTGATGGACTTTTTACTTCATTACAGCAGGAAATATCTTGATCAACTGGATAACAGTCAGCTACTCATTGAAGATCCAATACGATTGAGTTTGCTAGCTAGTCAGATGCTTACTTACTTGGTTCTGCCAGTTTTCAATAAACTTATTATGACTCTTGTGTTATCCATTTTCACTTCACCTTCACACTTTCTTTGTTTCCTACTCTTTGTGAAACAAACATCTATGATTGCTAATGTTTTCCAGTACTTTGCTAATTTTATGGTTCATAGGTAAACATATTTCTTCATTCTCACTGTCATCTTCCAATAAATATTCTGCTCTTCCACTGTTCATGATTTCAACTACAGTTTCTTCATCATCCTTGTAGGCAGTTACAGGAGTTTCATTGTTTTAGCAAGCCCAGGTTTGTGGTCATTTACTTATTTTATGTCATGAGGTGTACTTGAAGCTTTACATGCATCTTCAGACTGATTCCAACACTGGAGAGCTTTTCCATAGCTCATGTGGAGAGGCACTGTGTCTTCTTGACCTCCTCTGTGGTCTAGTGATACAGATCCAGAGGTCTGGGTTCGATTCCCGGCACTACCAGATTTCTGAGTAGTGGGTCTGGAATGGGGTTCACTCAGCCTCGTGAGGATAATTGAGCTATTTCAAGGAAATAATGGCTTCAGTGTAGAAAACCGAAATTAACGGTCGTGGGGATTCATGCGCTGACCACGCGACACCCTCTATCTGCTAAAGTTGGTACTAACTTCACCGATAAGCGGCAGTCTCTCAGTCAGTATAGTTTGCTTGTGGACTGAGACCACAGAGTTTTTTTTTTCTGACTTCTTAACCCTTTTGCGCGGTCTTTTAAATTCCGCTGCCGTCTCTCTGGCGGTAATATATTCAGCCGTCCATTTAAATTTTGCTCGAAAATGATTTATTCATCATTGTTCTTAAATTATATGAGATAGGAATATGAAACTTTCACTAAAATGATCTTAAAAGGTGGTTTTATAACCTT